TGATGTCTTGGAAGAAGCCCTTCTTGTTGTCCTTGACATCCCTTGCCAGATTTAATTCCAAGTGGGCCTTAGCCTTCCTGGTCGCATCCCTGCACACTCTGACAACGTCCCTATATTCCTCCCAAGTGGCCTGTCCCCTTTTCCACATTCTGCGTACTTCCTTCTTCTGTTGGGGTTTGGCCAGGTGTTCTTTGCTCATCCATGCAGGTCTCCTGCCCGCTTTGTTGGACTTCTTCCTCAGAGGGATGCACTGATCCTGAGCCTGGAGGAGGTGATACGTGAATACCAACCAGCTCTCTTGGCCCCCTCTTCCCTCTAGGGCCGTACCCTATGAGATTCCTCCAGGCAGATCCCTGAAGAGGCCAAAGTTAGCTCTCCTGAAGTCCAGGGTTGCGACCCTACTTATTGCCCTGCTTCCTCCTCATAGGATCCTGAACTCCACCATCTCATGGTCACTGCAGCCAAGGCTGCCCCCAACCTTCGCATCTCCAACCAAACCTTCTTTGTTTGTTAGTACGAGGTCCAGCAGCACACCTGTCTTCCTTGGCTTCTCCACCACCTGTGCCAAAAAGTTATCCTCAATGCTCTGCAGGAACCTCCTCAACTGTTTGTGTCTAGCTGTGCTGTCTTCCCAGCAGATGTCAGGGTGGCTGAAGTCCCCCATGAGAACCAGGGCCTGTGATTGTGAGGCTACTTCCAGCTGTTTGTAGAAGGCCTCATTGACTTCCTCTTCCTGATAGTAAACCCCCACAACAGTGTCACCTGTGTTAGCCTGCCCTTTAATCCTTACCCATAAGCTCTCAGGTCGTTCTTCATCCACTCCTAGGCAGCGCTCCATACATTCCAGTTGCTCCCTCACATAAAGAGCAACTCCACCACCTTGTCAGTTTCTTTGTTCAAAATTGGCCTGAGGAAAGCTGATGCTCTGGTTGGTTGAGAAGATCTGGCTATGATCTTGAGAGCTAGCTAGGACTATTTATAAATATGACCTACTTGCGGCTGGGGAGTGGGGGATGGACCTGGCTTCAAGTTGGCTGGAAACTGTCCCATGACAGGGGAGTGAATATATTGACGAATTCTTTCCTGTTATCCACCCCTGACTAATCACGATTAGTCACATACCTTTCCTTGATGGTATGTAAAAACTCTGCGTGTATTGCTAAGTGAATGTCTTCTTAAAGCTGTCAGTAACATGGACTCTTACGCTATCTGAGTGTTTAGCAATCTGTTTCATTTCTCCTTAATTTCAATTCATTTCCTATGGGAGTTTTTTTAGGTTGGCTTTTTTCTTTGCTGATAGATTTAACGTAAAGCAAGCAATCATGGTGATGTTTGCACAATCATTATGTGCATTTTTCTAAAAAATAGGAGTCATCCTCTGCTCCAAAGAGCTTACGTCTAGAGCCATAAAACCATTTACCCACCTGTAGTGTGACGAAGGAGGAATAGAGGCGTTTACAAGCCGTGGATAGTTAAGATGATCAATATGAAGTGTTGGGGATGTTCCTTGGCACTATGTATTTTACTAGCATTGACTTAGCCTGAGACCTTGTTTTCACCAGTAAGTTTACTGTTAACAGCTCAAATTGTATTTGTCACAGCTGAACTCCAGATTGCCACCCTATCAATACTTAAGTGGATTTGATGTGCATAAACCAGATACCTCTGCTACTACATGCCCTGGTAGGGAACAGGGAATGGAGCTGGATGGGATTAAATTTAAAATAAACCAGAGGCTCCAAACTATACTTACCGGGAGTTACACAAGCTGTGATTCTATTCCAGAATATAGCTGTTTTCCACCTTTCCTAATGAAGCTGTGTCTGTATTCAGGCAAGAATTTAAGAATCAAAGGGTTGGAAAGAAAGAGCAGGAAGAAGCATGTCCATATAGCTCAGAGAAGCAGCAGGCAAGGCTGGGAGATGAGGAGAAGGCAGTCATGGTTATAGTTTCTTTTTCTAACTGTTTCTGTATTTTATCCAGTGACTATTAAAGGTAAAATATCTGTGTGGTCCTGGGAATAGAATTGGGGGCTCTAGTCCCTATCTTGGCCTCCTACTTGTAGTTTAAGTGCCTTGTGAGAGGGCCGCCTGGTCATGCTCCCCTTTGTGCATGAGTTTTACTTCAAAGTCTTCATGAGCAGCCTAGTCTAATTAACTGCCTTCAAATTCCCCTCCCTCCTGCTTCTCCTTCCAGTAAAAAGTATGCAAGGTTGTTTCTTGATGTGTTATACAGAGAACTTCTAGGTATTTACCTAGAAGCGGTAGCATATGGAACCATGAAAAACTCATGTAGAAGGTCCTTTTAAAAACAAAATTATTTTAAAAATCACCTTTTCTTTATTTAGATCAGGAGAATTTCCTAGGACGATACAAAGCGGTCTTTAGGACTGAATGTGAAGATCCTTGGAGTCTGTCACCAAGAATTTCTCTGCTTCCCTTGAAAGAATTCACTGTCTGTGTGCACCTTAAGCTAAAGTCCTCAAATAGTCCATGGACAGCATATGTATATAATCAAGAAACACCTAATGGCAATCTCTCTACAAATAAGTATGATCTTGGACTTATGGGAGATCATGATAAATTGAGAATATGGCTGTTTGGAAATCAAATAAATATGACAGAGATGCTTCGTGAAAATACCTGGCACCGAATATGTGTGCAGTGGAAAAGTAAAGATGAAGAGATGAAGTTATTCATAAATGAAACAAAAAAAGGAAACAAGAAACTAGGTAAAAAAATGAGTCTCCCTGGAAAAGGGCAGTTCTTACTCGGCTGTCCAAAGCTGCCGGGTACAGCTACATCACCTCACATGGGAATGATTGGGGAGCTGTACATGTTCAGAATGTGGGATAAAGCAAATATAAAACATTCCCTGGGCTGCAAAGATGGCAGTATTATAGGCTGGAGAAAGGAGGATTGGGTGTATAACAAGACAATAGAAGAGGATGACTCTTTGCCCTGCGGTAAGTACAATTAATACTGTTTTTAATAGTGTTTTTGTCAAAAGTTGATCTGACTGTAACCGTCTAACACTTCAATTGCAGGTATTTTTCTTAAATTTTACAAAGCCTTTGTCTATTGGCCGTCTATAGTTAAACACTTAAAGAGATCATGTGAGGATCTGTAGCTCTCACCAACTTTTATCCAAATGTAAAAATTGTAGCAGCAATCCTTTAAAGACTTCCACTGGTTCCAGCTCTTGTGTCTGTGTGCTGTCCATGTAATGGTAATCCGAATGAGAACAGGATCCATCCAAATGAAACTCCTTGGAGTATTAGGACTTTGTATTAATGTCATCCTAAAATAGCTAATTTACACACCTTCTATTCAGGGAATAAATATAGAGACAAGCATTGCTGATTCTCATTTTGAACGTGCCTTGGGCCAGAATTTCAACAAGTGTAAATGTTCACAGCTTCACTGATCGCTGCACCATCTTTTGCTGGTTTGGTCTGGATCTGTAAAGACATACCAGAGGCTCTAATTTCTTCTCGTTTCTGTATCAGTAAGGTCATCCTTTGTTCATATGGCCAAACGGTCCCTCCCATATTCCTCAAAACTCCCCTCTGCCAGGAAAGAGAACTGTAACAAGCTTTACAACAAAATAAAATTTATTTTCAGAGAAATTTATTTTTAATATAGTTAAAATAGAGCTAAAAGTAAGAGAATCATCTTCATTCTGATGTTTGATGTCATATTGTGGACATGAAAGAGATACTTGAATGAGGTTTGCGTGGGAGGCAGTTTATCAACTGTGGTAAATGGTGTTGTCCTCTAAGGGCTTCAGAGATTTCAAGGTGACTGGCTCGCTTGGTTCGTAACATTTTTGTATAAGATAGGCCCTTCAGTTAGACTGTGGCACCAGTTTTAGCTTTGTCATCTTTATCCTTAAAAACTCTACCTACCTTTTTTGCATAGATTAAAAAATATCATTTAGCTGTGCAGTGTTACAATCGTCTGCTGGCTGGGTAAACTACAAGTTTCTTAGGGCATTAAAATATGGAGGGGGGAAAAAACCTCCGATAAATCAAGACTCGTGGCAAATGCCTTTAACATTGGGTCACGTAATGAAAGATATGCCTCTGCTGACCTGATGCTGTAGTTAGGAGCACACCTTCTGCATTGGGTTGTGTGGCTTGAGAGAAGAGCTGAAGCAAGGTTGGCTGTCTTTTGCTCGTGTGATGTGTTGGAAGGAACTCAGGCTTGGGCTGAGAGGAAGAAAACTCCGTCTCCTGGACAAAAGTCTGGTACAAGAAAAGTATTAGCTTATATTTCTTTGCTTCCTTCTTCTGCCTTTCATTTTTTGACTCTACGTTCTTCTAGATTTATTTGTATATTGATTACTAAGATTTCAAAAATTTTATTTAGTGTCTTGTTAACTCACAATGTAAGGTCCAATAAAGACTGGAGTCCCGGTTCCACTAAAGCTTACACACATGCTCAGCACTTAATGAACTCATGCTTAACTTGAACCAGGTAACTTGCTCCCCAGATTGGATCTGAAGATTTGCAAGAAAGGACATGTCTGAACTCTTTCCAAGTTTATGATGAGGGCTGATGGCAAGTTACGGACTGACGGAGCTTAGCAGCAGAAAACTTTTAGGTCTCAGTTAAAGACGTGATTCTTGCTTTTTCCACACACACAAACTTCTGGGTCCCCGTTGGTGTCTGTTTTGCAAGCTGAACAGGTGCAAACGCTGCATGTAGGTCCAAAGAGTGAAGGAGGCCTACACATTGTGCGTCACTAACCCTCCACTTATATTCCTCAGGTTCCTTTGATGTTGCAGCCAGGTAGGAGTCATAAAGAAATTATTTGTTAATTTTTTTTTACCTTCGTTATTTGGAACAGTGAGCAGATCTCTCTGCAGTTACGTATTCTTAAATACCAAGTGATGATCTTTAAAGTGAGATACATGCAATCTGTGGCGCTCTTTCTCCATATCACAGTTGTCATGCTATTTCCCATTCTCTGCAAAAAGGGAAATATCAAAGGATAAATGACTCCTATCTGGCTACATATTTTAATGTGGACAGTATGAGTGATGTCACTGTTGTCTCAGCATAATCCAAGAAGAAAAGCGCAGAGTAATGTAAAGCTTTGGGTGATTTAAGAGAGTACAAAGACATAAGAAAATAAGTTTAAAATGGTAAATGTTTGAAAAGAAGTTTTAGTTGTCTATGAGCACCAGCTCTTCAGTTGTCATTTTTTACATGGGGTGTTTGTAGGTCACCTTTAATAATACTTTGACAGCTGAAATAAATTTACTGTTTAAACATTAATCATTTCAGTTACATATTAAACAGTAACATTCTTGCTCCAAATATAAATATTTAAATTGTTGCATTGTGCATTTGTGCAAGGAGCACAGAGATAACAGGGATATCTTACGAATTTCAGTGAATAAATAGAATGAATGTTTTTTGGCCTAACTGTAAGTAGCATTACTGATGGTAAAGCTCTGTCGTCTCATCTGTGGTATTGGTGCCCTAAGAAGATATTACTTTTTGTAATGGTGAAAAACTTCTAGCAGGAGCCTGTTGATTTTTGGTTGCATTTTTTGCACAAACATAATTCACAGTTTATATCATGGCATTTTAATTCTTCTGAACTGTACCATCCAACTTTCAAGATAAAACTCTGCTGTCCTCTCTTTTCCATGCGTCTGTTTTTCTTCCTATACTGATGAACCTGCTACTGATATTGCAGGACGTTTCTTGGCTTGTGGGACAAAGTGGTCAAATATTAGTGGGAAGACTGGGAGCTGACCAGTGCCTTGTGTGACTGTTTTGCCCTTGCATGCTCAAGGAAAAGAAAAACTTGTTTGGCCTGCTGTTCTAGTTCGGATGTGTGAGCAGTAGGAGATATGATTCAGTCTTGTGCAATGTCTTTTAAAGATTTTCCCAAGCTCTGTACCCTTCTGATGACAGAATCAGCTTGCCAGAAAAGGAGGGTGGAGTCCCAGGCTCCACCTGCTCAGGCGAAAGGTGGAAACGTAGTGCCGCTTGGCTTGTCCGGTCTGCATCTCAGTCTGTTGGGTACCAAACTTTGGGCCATATTGCTGCATTTACTGAACTGATTGTGAAGGAGATGAAAAAAGAAATTATTTGCCTCAAATAGAATTTTCTTTCTAAATTCATGAGGGCAAAAACCTGTAGAAACCTGTAGAAACTCATAAAGGAAGTAAATGGGGGAAAAAAGACATGACTCCAAAGTGCCTGTTCTATGAGTCACATGCTGTTCTGCTTTGTACCCATTAACAGAATGCATGCTTGGCCTTCCCCTTCTTTGTGTGCTCTCATTGCTTACCTCTTTTATGATATCAAAGTAGTTTTTGGAAATCAGCCTGCCAGCGAAGGCAATCTGATTCACCTCAGCCTCTAGTGTAGATCTCTGTAGGCACTAGTAGAGCTTTAAATTTGGCTGTAAATATGAGCATTTTCAAAAACAAACACACACACACAGAAACTATGTAACATCAAGTTTGGCTAAAAATATTACACTATAACTTTTCTGTCAAGGATGCTAAATTGGACTGGCCAAAGCGCCAGAGCTCTGTGTTGAACAAGCACTTTTGCTGTTGTCTTCCATTTGCCTCTGTTCAATAGCTGATGATAATCCATCATTTCTTCCATTGTGTGACCTCGAAGAGTCAGAACAGACTTCCGATCTCACAAGAAGCACTAAAAGGTAAAACTGAGAGTGCTCTTAGTTTTATCCTATAAACCTTTCAAGTGTGCCTCAAAATCTAACTTACATTGGAAGTCAATATGAGCTAATGTCTACAGAGGAACAACTGGGGAGGGTTTTTTCGTGTTACTGTTATTAATGCCACATGTGATAGGGTGATTCATTTTGGCAGAATGTTTATCCAGCTGGAAGGTTCATCCAATGCTAACAGCACCCTGTCTCTTTAGCAAATGTGAACTTAATCTGAGGAGGAGAATTTGAATGTAGTATTTTAAGTGTCCGTTTCTGTAAATGGATGGAGTTTAGAATGGTATTGCTTTTGATGTTTTGCTGTTCAAGCCACTTAGTTTTGTTCAGGAGCAAGTGCTGTGAAATGTAGTAATGGCAGGTATTTTCTCATGGCTGTATCCTAGTAACATTGAACACAAATGGAAGGCAGTTGCCTTACAGTATTGGTGACTAATGTCATACTTAGTGATAACTATTGCCTCTGAAAATATTTAGAAGAGGATTTATATAAAATTAAATGCAGTGTGGAATTGACATTTCAATATAAAATGCTATTTAGTTGTTAAGCCAAAAAATGATATTCTGTATCTGTTTAGAATTGCAACTTTAATTTTGGCCTGTCTTGTGGGACTTATTAATGCAAATCAATTTCCCCAGCCCAAATCAATTGAATTTTTTAGTGGAAAAACTTTCAACACTAAGTTTGCTATCACATGTTATTTAGAAAATCTACATTTTATTAATTTTCCTAGTATCTTTATATATATTTGTAAGTCCCTCCAGTAGCCAATTCCCCTGTGGCCTTAGCCTCAGAGAGACACATACCTACAGACACATACATCTGGGTCTCCCTGTCGATCTGCCTGGACCCTGTAGTCTCTCTGGCAGTTGACTGGGACTCTTGGTCATGCCAGTAGCCCACTGCCCCTTTGATCTCGCCCTCAGAGACACATACACATACGTGGCTCCCAAGTCAATTCACCTACTCATCTGCTAGTCTGGTTTGTTTTTGTTAGTGATCATACACTTAGTTGCGTACCCTCACTTGCTCCAGTTTCTGGCACCACTGATACGTGGGCCCTTATGACCTGTGGTCTCACTGCAGTTGCTGACACTGAGATTGCCATGCATGCACACAGAATTCACTCGCCTAGGAAAATAGTTAGAAAGGAATTTAGTAAACTAGGACAGACTCTGCTGATCAGGCACAGGGCATGGCCGGACAAACATGCTGACCACCCTTGTATCCCTCTATTTTCCCATATT